CTGCCGCGGACGGCGTCGCTGCGGGGGGGAGCAGTTCACGCACGTCGGTGGTTTCCCCGCGCTGGATATTGGGGGGGCCGGGGGCGTTAATCTCACGCGCGGTCGTGGCTGACACACACCCCCACACCCCCACCCCGCTCTCCCTATCCCGCAGAGAAGCACCTGGTCCTGCTGCGGGACGGCCGGACGCTCATCGGGTACCTGCGCAGCATCGACCAGTTCGGTACGTCCGCCCCGGGGGCTGCCGGGGGCTTAGGCCGGGCTTTGGACCCGCTCCGGTGAGCAGGGCTTGGTGGGGAGGAGGGGGGGAGCCCCACGGTGCCCGTCGGTGTGAGCTGAGCGATGCTCCCGTCGGGGCTGCACTACCAGAGCTGTGCCCATCCCAAGCGGTGGCTTAACAGAGCCTGGCTTTGGGGAGGGTTCCCGGTTTCGTGGTCCCTGCTTGGCGCTGGGCCAGGCCCGAGCAGGAGGACACGTTTCCTTGGGGAAAACCAACGTGAGTTTGACAAGAAATCCCTTCACTTGCACGCAGAGCGGTGGGGCCGCAGGTCGTGGTTCCGTGTCGTGGGTGAAACACCGGCCTCAGAGCTCCACGGGGGCTTCTCCCGGGACCGGCTGCTCCCCTGCTCCTGCAGCCCGGCGCTGGTGCTGGGACGTCCCTTCGGGGCAGGAATAGCCCGGGATGCGCGGGGCAGTGTCTGCGCTCGGGCCTTGCCCAGACCCTGCGGCACCAGCGGGGCCGGGGCTGCCCTGGGCTGGGCCCCGCGGGGCTGAGCTCGATCCTGCCCGCGGGAGCTGCAGGGGGGGGCTGCCCCGCGGCACCCCGGGAGCTCCCGTGCCTGTCAGTGCCCTCAGTCACCCGACCCAGGGGATCTGCTGAGGGCTGGGACGGGGCTGCTCGGGGTCCCGGCCGGGATGAGCCACTTCACAGCTGGAAAACAGCGGAACTGGGACCTGTTCTCTCTCTCGATCCCTGCAGCAAACCTGGTGTTGCACCAGACTGTGGAGCGCATCCATGTGGGCAAGAAGTACGGGGACATCCCTCGAGGCATCTTCGTCGTGAGAGGCGAGAACGTTGTTCTGCTGGGGGAAATAGTACGTAAGGAGCTGCCCCTGCCTGCGCCCCGCCCCGGTGTTTGCCGTGACTCCAGGCAGCGCTGCGGAGGCACGGACTGTCTGTCTGTCTGTCTGCTGTCAAATACAGTCACAGTCCTGCTGCGGGGGGTGAAGTTTGAGCCCCCTCCCAGGGCCGGTTCAGCTGAGCTGTCGCAGAGATGCCCCCGTGCAGCCAAGGAGGGGGGGGGGTGAAGGTGCCATCACGCAGCTGCGGCTCCTCTGGGACGACACGGGGGAGGCGAAAGGCATCGCGGGGGGAGGCGTGGAGGAGCCCCGGCCTGCGTGTGGTGTTGCTGGAGGGTGACATTAGTGCCTGCCCATGGGGCTGTCACCTCCCCGCTGCCTCGGCACCGGGGGACACCAGGATGGGCTGGGGAGGAGCCAGGTGCTGTCTGCTTTGGGCTGAGCTTGGGGAGCCCCCTTCCATGGACGCCTGCCCCGGGGGGGTCCCAGTGCCTCCAGCACCTACAGTTTCTGTCACCTCTACCTTTTGTTGGGACTCGCAGAAGCTGCGTGGGCACGGGCTCCCCTGGAGGAGACTGTCCCGTGTGTGCAAATCCGGGAGCGGGACCCGGGGCGGGGGACCCGGGTGCTGACAGGCCCGAGCCCCCCGGCCACCCTCCGGCAGCTCAGCGGCTGCTCCTCTTGCAGGACCTGGAGAAGGAGAGTGACACGCCGCTGCAGCAGGTCTCCATCGAGGAGATCCTGGAGGAGCAGCGGGTGGAGCAGCAGGCCAGGCAGGAGTCAGAGAAGCTGAAGGTGCAGGCGCTGAAGGAGCGGGGCCTCTCTGTGCCGCGGGCGGACACCCTGGACGAGTACTGAGTGCCCCCCTCGGACCCTGCCCCCTCCACCCGCGGCGAGGGCTGCTCCGCCGTCTGCTCGTGCCCGGGCAGGTCTCTTTGGAAAGGAGGGTTTTTTATTTTCAGATTGTGTTTTCTGTGGCACAGATCACAAAAAAGAAAAAATCATGCCTTTAGCTTCTCCTTGCGGAGAAGGAGGAGAGGAGGCATTCGCCTGCCCTCGGGGGTGGCCGAGCGTGAGCGTTTGTGTTCAGGAGACAAATCGCTGGGTCCTTCAGGTTTGTTTGCTTTTTCCTCCTCACGGGACTCTGGGTGAGAGTTTTTCCTTGACGTGTAAATAAATCCTTGATCTCAACCGCAGTGATTTTGCCCATGTTTGGGATCTGGTGCTTTCCCCTCTCTTGGAACAGTCACCCTTGTGCCAGCTCCTGTCCCCATCAGGCGCCACACGGGGAAGACAGGACCCGTGGTCCTGCCAGAGTGGGGTGAGATCCCTTCGGGGAGCAGGACTGGGGTTCCCCTGCGTACCCCCTGCACCCCAACAAGGGCTGCCAGCTCCCCCCAGCCTGGCTGTGGCTGTTCCCCTGCAGCTGAGCCCACGAATTGCTGGCTAAGGAAGAGCTGCTGCAGCTGGGCTGGCACAGCCACACCTGGGCCACCGGCAGCCCCTGGGCCACTGACTGTCTCCTCTGGGGGAGCTGGTGGGGCTGCGGCAGGTTGGAGGGTCCTTCGTGTTGAGCTCGTCCTGGTGCTGTTGGGGTCTTGGGTGACAGGGTCGGGTGGGAACCGTCCTGTGCTGCGGGGTTGGTTTTGGGCAGCTGCCAGGCCCTGGGAGCCTCGGTGGGGTCCCCCTGTGAACCCCCTTTTTGGTTCATTTCCCAGTGAAGTGAAACTCTCTTGGGGAAG